ACATATATTTCCAAATTCTTCAACAAATTAAGTTGAAATTTCCACTAGGATGCATATTCAGAATTGTGTATGCACAGTCTTTTAAGTATTAGCTAATACTTATTATTAAAAGGTTCACTAGGATGCATCTTCTGAATTGTTTATGCACACAGACTTTAAGTATTAGCTAATACTTATTATTAAAGGGAACAAATTGAATTGCAACTAATTGTAGAAAATTTGATCATTAGATTCACAAGGGCATATTAGGCATATCAATTTCATTTTCAGTGAGACATGCTCAAAAAGTGATGCGCGGGTGATTATAAGCTTATGTTTGCTCATTTTATAAATGATTTATAAACATTCAAGCCACTTTTTATCTACACATTACGAGAAACCCATAATTACTACCCACTTATCCACTACTCATTTTATATCTATTGATAAATTAGATTGTTTATAAACTCTTTCCTAACATGCTCTTGATACTCATAACTAAAATAGGGAAGGATAGTGTGATTTTTAAAGGTGAGGTGTCTAATATTGTCATGAAGCTCAAGAGGTTTCTATTAGTTCTATTACATTACCATTTATGCTATGCAGTCTCAAGATGAACATCAGATTAGAAGTTTCCACAGAAAAGCAGAAGTGAATCATGAAATTCAACAGCTGAAGTCAAAAATGCGTGATTCACAGGTACTTGTTGGACACTCCTCTGAATGCATATACGCATACATACCTATATGTGCATATCTGCGAATTAGCTTCTGTGTTGTGTCCTCATTCAATTGCTACCCGATGTTCAGCTTCAAAAATTTCGCGATGAACTTAGGAACCGCTCACGGGTTCTAAAAAAGCTGGGGCACATTGATGCTGATGGTGTTGTTCAGTTAAAAGGACGAGCAGCGTGTTTGATAGATACAGGAGATGAGCTCCTTGTTACTGAATTGATGTTCAATGGTGAACCCTCTAATCGTTGATATTTCACACTTGTGTCTGCTGTTATTTCTTTATTTTCCACACTTAGACAAATGTTAAGCAGTGATTAATTTTTCATGTTGTGGACCAGTCCCAATATGGAACGTTAGTTAACTTTAACCATTCATCGCATCTGCATTTATTCCTCACGTGCTAAAAATTTGTTAGTGCAGAATTGTTATTCAATTGATTGAGATCTGATCTATTTCCTAAATTAAATACTCAACCCTTTCTAATTAAACCCTTTCTAGTTTTTTATTAGTTAAGTAACAAAAAATGTGGTGTAGGCCTGAACTCTTGATTGTTTATGTTAGTTGAACCTTGGAAAATCTGCATGAAGTTCTTGGGCTTTGGGCATGTGGAAACGAGGTTATAGTCAGGGCCATTTAACCTTTTCCACCAAAAATCAATGGTAGACCTTTTTTGGCTGGAAGGAGAGAAATTTGATCACTGATGCATATAAAGATTGTGAATAAATTTTGGCAGGTACGTTTAATGATCTTGATCATCATCAAGTTGCTGCTCTTGCAAGTTGCTTCATTCCCGGAGACAAAACAGGAGACCAAATAGAGTTAAAAGCAGAACTTGCTAAGCCACTGCAACAGCTTCAAGACAGCGCTAGAAGAATAGCAGAGGTGTGTTCAGCTTTTTAAGCCCTTGTTTGAGCCCCATTTTTGGGCCAAAATGTATTTTCGAATAGTATTTTGTTGGAGAATGTAGTTAAAAAATAAGGAAAAGTTTTGGGTTTGTGTGTAAAATTATTTTATGGGAGAATGTGTGGTTACAAATGAGTTTTGGAAAAAATAGGAGCCAAACATAGGCTAAATATACACACACAATGTGTGTGTGTGTGTATGTGTAGATTGCTATAATTTTTGTTCGCTGTGGCTACTGCAGGCATGGTAAGTAAATGACAACTTGTAAATTTTGTCACAGATACAACGTGAATGCGGACTCGAAGTAAATGTGGAGGAATATGTGGAGGCAACAGTTAGACCATACTTGATGGATGTGATCTACTTGTGGTCAAAGGTCAATATAGTACCTTCCTTTTTTTCTCAGTAGATCGCTGGTTATTCTACACTAATTAAGATTTTATGCCTCTAATTTATCACTTTGGGTATAACTGTTATTTTTTGAGGATTTTTGTATATATTTATTTGTAAAAACAACTTGAATCGATTGCTTGGTTTTGAGTCAATTCATCTTTTTAGTTAGAATGCTAAACTATGTTGGTACTTATCATGTTTAAACTCATTGTTCCTTTAAATTTTCTTTTTTAAGGGAAAATCTTTTAAAGAAGTTACAGAAAAGACAGATATCTTTGAAGGTAGCATTATACGACAAGCTAGAAGGCTGGATGAATTTTTAAACCAGGTAATCCAATCGATTTTTTTCATAAATCCTATGAATTTGTCATTCGAGCAAAAGTTTATAAATAGGTGAATAAACAGGCATAGTAATGCAAACCAATTCAACGGAGCCTTTTTCCAATATGAGATTAACATGCATTTAATGATTTGAAGAAAGTGAAATATAATTGTTGAGACTTTCTAGCAAATGTTAGGATAGGATGCACGAATTGTTGGGTGCCTCTATTCCTGGACTATTTTGGCCCCTTTCTGTAAAGATATATATGCATTCTCTACTTCAGGCCAACAGATGGCTGGACAACTCTGATCCGTGTATGCCAAATAGATGATGCTTATTCACGTTAGACTGTTAGTACGACCTAATAGTGCATACCAATTACCTAACCTGCATAAAGTTGGTTTTTCGAGACTGTTGGATCATAATACCCATAATACAATTTATTATCTTCCTCTTCCCCCCCTTTTCGGGTTTTTCCAGTTGAAAGCTGCTGCTAATGCTGTCGGAGAAGCTGATTTAGAGAACAAGTTTACAGCAGCTAGTGAGAGCCTTCGTCGAGGGATAATGTTTGCAAATTCACTGTACCTCTGAAATTGTGGGCTAGATATTAGCTTCTTAAATATGTATGATAAGCCGTTAGTGTGATTTTCACCATAGTATTTTGAAAATTTTTGTTAGCACCTTTGTTTTTCTTTTCCCTTTCTTTTCTATTTTAATTTAACATTGTGTACAAACGCAATAAGACAGTAAATGGGTTGAGAATTTTTTTTTTTTAGAAATTATCTGAGTTATTTTCCTTGCGTAATGGGCTGCCTAACCTTTAAAAGCAAGGTTTTGGTTCCCATGTGACGGAACATTCAAGCTTTCACTAGAGCTGGAGATAAATGTTAAATATGGATCGACAATTTTGTCCTCCAGCTACAAGTCCTATGAAAGTTGTGATCAATTTGAACATCCATATGGATGATCTTGGATCAGAATTTAGATTCACAATTAAATTAGTCGAAGATTGAAAATTCTTGTTTTGTTGGGATTCATAATCACATCACGTCTCTTTAAGAGTCCAATACAATAAAATTTATATATTCACAATAAAACTTCTGAGATCGTTATGCCTTTTGTGTGGGTTGGAACTTGCCCGATAATGAATTTTACTACCTTGAGACATTTATCATTTATGATTGTCGTTCATGAGGCTTCGATCGTTAGCTCTCCTGTCACTGAGTCCTTCTATCGTCCTATACTCACACAGCTGTGTTATGCAATAGCTTCTGTACTCCAAACACCCCTCGCTGCCATTCTCCATTACCCATTGCTCCTCACTAGTTACTTAACAATTTGAGATTCTTGAGTTGCTCCAAGGTAATACCGAGCTAGGAGAGGGGGGAAAATGTCGCTTTCCAAAATAGTCCCAATAACCCAAATGATGATATGAAAATGTTGGTCACGAGAAGAATATAACTTCCCCTCACCTCCCAAAATCAACCATCACCTTGCTAGAACTATTTTTGGCACTTTAAATTTTAACATAGTTTGCTCAAATCCAACTTTTATAATACGTGATGCAAATCACAATTTTATTCGATACTCATTATAATCCTTTCCTACTATCCTTACATTCATTTATATATGTAAAATATGACAAAACCACCTAGGCTGCAGCAACATCCACAAAAAACTGCATTGTACTAGAGCAAGGTGAGTCGGAGTACTCCATTGGCTTCCTCATGCCAGCACCAAACTTCTCTTTGTATTCGTCGATGGAAATTTGCTTGCAGCGACACTCTGCACTACAAAATGCCTTCTCTCCCCTGCCATAAGATGATAATATAATTCCCTCAAAAGTCGAAAGAAAGTTTAAAATTCACCGTAATATTTCCTGAAAGAACCTAGAGAAACAATATAGTGAACTAGAACATATATTTTGATCGAGTTTATGAAGCAAATGCAGCCATTCAAATAAGTGAACTTAGGACAAATATCCCTTTACAAACACGCATTTTCCCATAAAGAATAACAAGAAAGTCACGTCCAGCATCAACTTTTACACATTAGAACGAGATGCTGAACGATAAAATCCTTTTCTACTGACACATGAGGCTTACATATATATTTAAAGGTTAAAAATGTTTTCAAAAAAAAATTTTAAAAACCAGAAGCATTTCACTTCAGTCGACTCATTACCTAGGACCATTTGAACAACTATGCCTAGCACAAAGGGCTCATATATAATCAAAATGATTGTATATGTAAGGAAGATAATTCATTTAGAGCGTGTTTGATTGTGCTAAAAACTTACTTTCCTAGAAAGTAAGTTGAGACTTACTTTTTAGGAAAAAAAGAAAAAAAAAAAAAAAGAGAGAAAAAGAGAGAGATATAATAGTAAAAAACTATGTAGATTATGCTTGGCAAAATAAGAACTTGATTTAAGCACAGCCAGACAGCTTTGACTTAGCTGCTGCTTAAGTAAAGCTATCAGATACCAACAAATAACAACCACAAAATACTGCTGATATGTGTCGATAATTAGGCCTGTGAAAGGTGTCATTAGGTCAGACAATGTTATAACTATGTCTCGACCATTGGAAATTATTATAGTAGAATATGATTTAGTTTTCACTCTATAGGAAAAACAATCGACATGTGCTGCGCCGGTCAATACCACAATCTGAAGAAGTCTCAGCGAGATCAATATCAATCAGCTCTTATCTGAAAGCATGATCTCCCGATCAATCCATAATCTAGTGAAATTATTGGAAAATATTGTTATGCCACAATCAGAAGCTTAAAGAAGGTAATGAATTGCATACTGCTACACCTTTAGGCATCATATTCGTTCTAAAACCAAGTGAAAAAAACAATATCCCACTAGTTCATTAAATCAATCAAATAAACTTGCTATTTACTTTTTATGAATACACCTAAACAACAGCAACACATGATTCAGCTAAATACACTATTCACCAATTAGCCTTTATATTTCTCCTTGTAAATCGCATAAAAAGTACAAGAACCCTAAACCATTTGAAACAAGACTGTTAGACTCGATTTTCAACTATCTCATCTAAAAGCCAGTTGGTGTCTAATGTGGGCGGGTTGAAACCTTTTATGGCATTTGACCACCATCGTTCAAGTGACCCAATCGATTGGCTTTTAAGAGCAGTACTGTTTCTCCCAACAATCCCTCCCTCAACACAAAGTTGTGACTCGAACCCATGATCCTAGCTCTAATTCGACTTGTTAGGATCGATTCAACTATCTTGTGTGGAAACCAATTGGTGTGCTTTTTATGGTATTCATCCACCACTGTGAACCAAACCATGGGGTTCTGAATACAGATAATTAAAAAAACATATTAATCAGTCAAAATAAACCTCCAAACCAAATGAATCATAACAAAAGAGCACAAGCAGTGAAAAAGTTAATTCGAAGAGTAAATATTCAAAACTAAATTTTACCTGTACATGAAAATATCCAATCCATGAAGCATCTTCTTGCAAAGAAAGCAAGAATTCAGAAAATCCTCGGTCTGAAAGGCATCCGTTTTGCCACCGCGACTCACTGAAGAATCAGATACCATTCCTGAACTTACCCAAAAACCACCATCGCCACCAGTAATTGAAACCCTCTCGGACACACTATTTTTTGTCAACAAATCAGCATCAAAGTACTCTCTTTTCTTGATCAAATTGTCCCCCACGTATGAAATAACACAAGTGTACTCCTCGGACAGCTCCATTTCCCCAGCACTAAGCTTCTTGTTTTTGTTATCACCGACACTTTTGTTACTCAAAACTGGAGTATGGTTCGTACACGATTTGGGGGAAATTGCAACAACTGCATCTCTGCTACAATTCATAAAGACTGATTCTAGATTTCGATCATTCAAAGCGGTAAGAATGCGAAGCCCAACAACACCATCTGGCTCCTCAAATATCTTGACAGATTTGTTGGTCCCGTTTGGTTTTGTATGATCAGTGAGTGTAAGAAATGAAAGATTTATCGATAATCTCTTCTTTTTCCCTCTAGTTTCAGCCATTTCTACACACCCACAGAGATTCAAGAGACAATAAGAGTGAAAATTTCTTGGTAGGTTTCTCTCATTCAGCGTATTTGTGAATTTTCAGGAAGAAATGGATACAGAGAGAGAGGAAGAGAGGGAGATGCATCAATGTCCACTCCTCTGCAGCTCTTCTCGAATGTCTTGGATTTCAGTGATGGGGAATATAAACAGGCACCCTCAAGTCGGTTCCCACACAAAATATAGAAGTTTAAATCTAGTGACTTGATGTGATGGATAACGGTCATATTTTTTATTTTAATAATTAAATAATGAGAAACAAACATGGGCTTAAAATTTAATTTTTAATCTAGATGCCCTTTTTTTTTTCCAAATTATTATTTGAGAAATAATAATTTTTTAGAAAATATGTGATTAAAAAATTTAGATTTAAGTGTAATATTATTTTATTAGAGAATACGTGTTGATAAGAGGAGAGAGAATAATAAATTTTAATTTAATAAGAACCAAACAACGGCTAAATCATATTGATAATGTCCTCTTAACCAGTTTTTCCATTGATTCATTTAAGAATTTTGATCGATTTCATGATTTACTCTGGTACGGATCATACTTTGTAAAAGTGTCAAGAACAAAGTAAAAATGTACACAGAAAATAATATGAATAAAAAAAATATTTACATATAAAACTTAAAATTGGATAAAGATTATGTAGAAAAATAGAGATTATCGACCTGATTTGCTGGCCATTCTTAAAATAAAAAAAAAAAAAAAGGAAGATAGTTTTGAATAGTGTTTTAGGAGAATGTATAGTTAAAAAATAAAGAAAAAATTTTGAGTTTTCATATAAAATATTTTATAATGTAAATGTGTAGTTAAAAATAATACTATAGAAAAAAGAGTTTGAAAAGAATGGAAATCAAAACCGGGGCTATATTGCACAATCTCTCCCACACCTAAGCATTATGCAACAATAATTATTTCGAGAATTCTCTATCCTTCTCCATTATGCTTGAAGTTTCCCAATTGTTTTGTGCATTTAAAAAAAATTAAAATTAAACTAACCTTATAAGTGAGACTTGGCATAAGGAAATAATCTGAGACTCTCAATGTAATGGGGGAAAAAACTTGCAAATCTCCCATTTTTAACTTATGTAAGTACATCATCTAAATAATTGTGCATATGCCTTCGTACGTCTCGTTGCCTCTTACAGTTCTATTGGAGGAATTTTGTGAATAGTGACGCCAAAATAAGTATAATGATGGTTTGTAAATCCGTGCCGAAAATTGGACAGAGTAACGGCAAAGAAAACACAAACAAGAAGAAGAAGAAAGTAGGGACAAAGCCGAGGCAAGAGTTGGACTCTTTGTCCTTAAGTCGAATTTGCCCCGCAACGGTGCCTACGGATTTCGGCAATCGACTCCCAAGATACAACGGCAACACTTGTGTTTGTAGCACTCCAAAACACAAGTACAACGAACCAAATTTAGGCTTATGTACTCCAAGGATGAAATGAAGGAAAATCAAAATAAATGAAATGATTTTGATTTTGGATAGAAGAGAGGATGAGAGATGTTTTGCATATCAAAATTGTGAGGAATAGGACACCCAAAAGGTCCTATTTATAGACCATGAAAGGGTGTGGACGAAATGGTTGAGGCCAAACCATACACCCTTTTCCAAACAATGCATCTTTATGAAAAGGTGTCTATTCACTAATGGTTGAGGCCAAACCATGCACCCTTTCCAAACAATGCACATTTATGAAAATGTGTCTATTCACTGATTTTCGTCATTTTTCATAATTTCTCATTCATCCGATATTGATTTTCGAAATGCCAAATATACCCTTCAATACATGCAGAGAAATCAAAATTCTCTTTCGGGGGCGTTGCCCCCTCGACCCCGGCGACCTGACCGGGCAGGTCGATTCCCGTTTGTGCGCCCCGAAGCGGTGAAGTGGCAAACAATTTTGCCTAAACGGATTGAGTCGAGCTTTTGAGTATTTGACCGAAGTCGATACGAAGTCACTTTAATCGATTTTCAATTCTCGATTTATTTAACCAATATCCAACAAGTTCTTCATCCTATCTCTCGAAAAAATAAATGATTAACATATTCTACCATAATGAGTATAAGTGATTCTAAGAATTTCAAATCGGCAAATATTTAATAAATTTCTTGAAAATTATAGTCCAACTTCTATGTTAGGCTTTCCCGAGAGTTCATTATTCTCGGTATAAATTTCACCACATATCCTACATCAATATCGTGCCAATGCATGTAGCTCAAATTATGTCAATAAAAACCTTGACTTGTGCTTGCTACATGCCAAAAGTAATTAATCCATCAAAATTTCTGCACGTCAAACTTCATACTCGAAATGTAAATGTATATTAGTATATATGAATGGTACACACCCATCAAGTTCCCACGAAAGATTGGGGAAGTCACAACAATTTATTTAAAATCCAACCTTCTTAATTAAAGCATTTACTTGTACATTATTTACTTTACCAAACCCTAACAAGTCGAAAGACTATATAAACTTTATACTAAGATCAAATAATTGTTGGCGAGAATCGTATCTCAATTTGGATTGAAAATCTTTTTATATTACATTTGATACATAAAAATTAATTGTCAATACATAAATTTAAACACCCATTAAAATTTCTAAATACATAAATATGAATACATTCATCTATAATAACTCTAGATTCATATAACTCAAGATTTATCAAGTGAAAATTCATTGAATCTATATTAATGTGAATATTAAATAATTGAAAATTAATAACACAAATTTTATAAACGACAATAATTATGTATTATTTATTACATATCGAAAAACGAAAAGTAAGGTATTATTGAAATAATTGAATTGTAGAAGGTTGAAATCGTCCAAAAAATGATTGATACTTTAATATATATTACAAATTATAAATTATAGATAGATTATAGATAAGATAAATGTCATAGTATGAATTTGATTCGATCACGGCTAAGAAAGTTGCAATGCAATATGAATCTTCCATAAATGCTTGACTAAGTCATCGTAGAAATTTTTTAAATATTATTCGTAACAGTTCTAGAAACTCGTTTGTATGACGTCAACATGATCATACTAAAATATTTCTCGTAATACAGTACGATTACTTATCTTTTTTATGCATTTACTTAATCTTAGATACACTCATTGCTTTGAGTTGATGTGCTTAAATTTTAATTTAAAAGACTTCGTTTAATTTTGTTTATTTAAAGTCATCTATTCAAAATAATTTTTTTTTAAAACTATTTCAATAATCTTTGAAAAGTTAATCAAATATTCAAATATGAAGGTATCACAGTCTTGTGGGACTTGATCACAAGATCCTACCATTCTAAAATTTTAATCATTTGGGATTTGAGCTAAATCCATCAACTTGTTTTGAACTAATAAGTACTTTTTGTAATGGAATTGCGTGAAGCACGTGATTTTATGTTACTTTATAAAGTTGATAAAAGGAACAATTAAAGAAAGAATTGTGTGGTGGGATGAAAAAAATTACTTATTCTGTAAAAGCCTTTAGTCCAAGCTAATTCTAATAAAAGTAAATATTCTTTCTTAGAGATGATCCTCGCTTTGTACCAAGGACATTGGGATGCCAGTTTTAGTAGAAGACTAGTTTCGTAAAGTCGTTGGTCATGATTATAAGTTACATCAATTTTGAAAAGAAATGTGAATTCACAATATTTTTAGAAAGTGGGTGTATTTTATATTTGGAAAATGCGTGTGTACACACAGCATTACACCCTCCTCACATGGAGGGAGGCGAACGAATATTTTATTACATGTGGACCCCCTCTATATGAGGGGGGTGTTAGTCAGTGTGTACACCATTGTGTACACACATGACACAACACAACCCTTTTATATTTAATACAGAATCGAATTTTACATCATTTTATGGACAGTTATGCAAACTATATTTAAATTATTACATACTATGGTTCTGAAATGGCAAAGGAAGGCCTTGAGATGTCTGATCTGCATATTATTGACAACAATAAATTTTTGATGTGCGAATTCAACAAGTTTTTGACATCGTCATTCATTTTGCATCACCAATTGATTCTTGCAATCCTCGAATCTCTCAAATGAAATGAGCCATATTTCTGGGTTGAAAGAGGGAGGTGCAAATTATTGACAACAACGGATTTCTAACGGGCAAATTTTGCAAGTTTGATGATCTCAATATTCGTGCGTTGGAATTCATCAAAATAAACTTCTATTTAAAATGAGTATTAAAAATATATTGTATTCGAACTATTAGAAAAAATATTATTAATCTTCCATTAACTAAGAACATTTTTACGAGATTCTTGAAAAAAACAAAAAAAAGAAAAAGAAAAAAGAAGAAGCATGCATTGCACGATGACTACGACTAGTATGTGTATATACATTGAAAGTGAGAAAATGATGGAGAATGGACAAACGTAGACAAGTCGGCATCTACGGAAGTAGGAGGGCCGTTGAAATTGGTGGTCCAAAAGAATAATTTAGCCCCTTAGTGCTTAGCTTTCTAAATATCAATTCCAAGGACCCCATATTTTTGGCCTTTGTCACTCTATTCACAAACATGTTAAATCAATTGCACATCATTGAATTTTGATCCTCTCTTTGATTTATCATTACTATGTACTATATGCTTTATCAAATGGTTCACCTCCCCTTGCAATAATAATGCTACAAAATGTACAATACATGTGTCATTTCATACGATTTAGTACCCGTTTTACTCAGCTAAAAAAATGATAAAAATTAAAGTTAAAATCAATAAATAATTTAAGTCACTCATTTTATGGAATTCACAATTTTTATTAATTTTTTAATCATATATTTTATCAATTTTTATCAAAATTCATTGAGAGTCTGATTTTTATAAAAACCAAATAGGGACTCTACTTAGAAAATTTTACAAATTAGCAATGTTGTAAAAACCGGATAGGACCGGCCGATTCAAGATTTTTCCAGGGTGATTTAATTTTATTTTTTTATTTTTTTACAAAAACTTTTAACTACCTTAATGGGCCACCCATTGCAATTAAAGGCCCAATTAACTTTCTTTATACAAATGATACTCCTATACCTCATTTTTAAAGGAGAATATTCCTTCAATGTTTTAGTAATTTTTCAATATGGGATATTAG